ATTTTAACTGTCTCAAATATATTTTGGCAGTCACATTCGTTTCTTACATTACTTATTGTAAGTAAATGAAAGGAATTTGATTTGTTAGTCTGTGTTGATTCTGTGTGAACTAACGAAACACTTGGGGAAATATATATCACTGATTTATATGATCAGGTTATTCCAATGTGGAGCCATTTGCAGGTTATGGAACTTTGCGGGCTATGTGCAAGACTGTAATTCATGCTGTCTGATTTGTTCTGTAGATTTATGAAATAAAAATAAGCCATCAGATTAGCAGCACCAACAATTGTTTCATTTGTGTTTATGTTTGTTCTTCTTTAAATTTACTTTTGTCTTCTCCTGTTGCCTCATTCTGTTCTTCATTTTCTCCTCTTCTTTCTGTTTTCTTGTTTCTTTTTCCTCTTCTTCTTTCTTTCTTGTTTCTTGTTTCTTCATTCTACCTTAAGTGTCTTGATATGAGCAGACATAAAGCATCAATGACTCCGCAATCCTGTAAGTACATACTCTGATGAATTCAACTATACTATTTTTTTTGAAGCATTTATTACCAAGGCTGTCCATACAATTTTTCTTTTGTTGTGTTATGCTTCTTTTGTCTGGTGTTGTTCCTTGTAGTTCTTCCATCACGGATGATGAAAATCACTTTTCATCCAAAGTAGTAACGATCAATGATTATGAATACCAAGGTGGCTGATTAGTCCAATATGAGCCCTGACAGTTCTTGGACAGCGCGGACAACAGATGCAAGTCGCAGTACGTGTGGAATTAGCAATACCGTTCTTTCTAGTCGGCCTCTGTTTCTTTACCTGTGCAACCTCCGCTGCCTGACAGGCTGAAGCACCATGCCCGAGGATTGTAATCATCCAGAACTAACATGCGCAGCAACCTCCAATGTTGTTGTGTTGATACCAAAAGAATTGAGAGCAGCTGAGAGCAGTGTCCTTATAGTGCTTCTTTGGGAGGGGATAGTCTGGCATGCAGGCTCGGTGACCAGCCCAAGGCAGCTGATAATCCATCAGTATCGCGTGGATGCTAGGCAGGTTTGCCACAGTATCTGTGATCCTTTCTTGTCATTTGATTTTGAGCAGCTTTCTAAGACAGGTTATATAAAACCGATTTAACCTTTTAGCATGGCGCTGATACAGAGTCCATGTTTCACAAGCGTAGAGCAGTACTGGAAGAATTACAGCTTTGTAAACCTTTAGCTTGGTCAACAGGGAGATACCATTTCTATTCTAGATGCTGGTATCAAGTCTGTTGAAACTGCTGCTAGCCTTTGAGACACTAGCTTTGATCTCGTCGTTAATATTCACTCTCTGAGATAGAGTACTGCCAACAATAAGTGAATCTGTCGACTACATTAGGCTTTTGATCACTTAAGGTGATGGTGGGATCATAGTGAATTTTTTTCTGTGAGCCGTTTGATAGAAAACAGCAGTTTTATCAGTGTTGATAGTCAGCCCGAAGTTGGTACAGGCTTCAGAAAATCTATTGATGGTGTGCTGCACATTGGCCTCACAGTCATCAGCAAACATAATGTCCTTAATTGTAATTGCTTTAGTTTATGTTTTAGCTGAAGCCTGCTCAAATTAATCAAGTTGCCAGATGTACGGTAATTTAAAGCAATTCCTGTATCGTCATCATTGAAAGCAGTGACAAGCACTGCAGCAAATGTCATACTGAACAAGGCTGGCGCAAGCACAGATCTTTGCTTTACGTCATTTGAGGATCTCATAATTTTCTTGTCTCCCGCACTCATTCAACAAAAAAACTAATTTCTCTATTCATAACTTCCATCCCTGTGTGGTTTCCAGGACCCAATAAAGTCAGATCTGTAAAATAGATGTGCACACAGCACTCAGGTTCTGGAACAAATCTAAAGTCCAGGTAGTTTAACAAACAGAATTTTCTGCACTAATTGGGGGCTGCCTTCGAAGTCAAAGTGCATCTGCCTGAGAGGCAAGGAACCAAAAGTCTACATCCAATAAAGTCAGATCTGTAAAATAGATGTGCACACAGCACTCAGGTTCTGGAACAAATCTAAAGTCCAGGTAGTTTAACAAACAGAACTTTCTGCAAGAATTTTACAGCCGGTGAATGCGAAGAAGAAAATTATTTCCATGATTTTCATGCCATTTTTTCCTTTTATTTCTAAATCATTGTTGACATTGGTGGCTTAAATGTTGCGAACTCGCTTTGCAATTCCAAGATGACGGGTTCGGCCCCTGATGATTTAGCAACAGACCACCTTGTGTTAGTTTCAAAAGTGGTATCAGGAGCAGACCGCTAAGTTAGCAATGACAAACTACCGAATGAAAATCTGCCTGATGAAATCATCAATAGCTTTGATTTAAAAGAAAAAAAAAAGCTTGGTTTGGTTCACAATGTCATATAAACAACATGCAACTAACTTTTAATAATTAGTGATCCTTTAGCAAATGCATATTTAAGACCTCTGCATTTTTTTTTCTTCTTTGTTCACTGTATTCTGAACATTCGCTTCAAAAAATTATTATCTACGCTGCCTAACTCACTCCACAGTAGTATAAACATTCACTTCAAAAACTATATCTATGCTGATAAACTCCCTCCACCGTAGTATTAACATTCACTTCAAAAACTATATCTATGCTGCCTAACTCTATCCACAGTAGTATAAACATTCACTTCAAAAACTATATCTATGCTGATAAACTTCCTCCACCGTAGTATTAACATTCACTTCAAAAACTATATCTATGCTGCCTAACTCTATCCACAGTAGTATTAACATTCACTTCAAAAAATATATCTATGCTGCCTTTACTCCCTCCACAGTAGTATTAACATTCACTACAAAAACTATATCTATGCTGCATAACTCTATCCACAGTAGTATTAACATTCACTTCAAAAAATATATCTATGCTGCCTTTACTCCCTCCACAGTAGTATTAACATTCACTTCAAAAACTATATCTTTGCTGCCTTTACTCTGTCCACAGTAGTATTAACATTCACTTCAAAAACTATATCTATGCTGCCTAACTCCATCTACAGTAGTATTAACATTCACTTCAAAAACTATATCTATGCTGCCTAACTCCCTCTACAGTTGTATTAACATTCACTACAAAAACTATATCTATGCTGCCTGACTCCCTCCACCGTAGTATTAACATTCACTTCAAAAACTATATCTATGCTGCCTAACTCCATCCACAGTAGTATTAACATTCACTACAAAAACTATATCTATGCTGCCTAACTCCCTACACAGTAGTATTAACATTCACTTCAAAAACTATATCTATGCTGCCTAACTCCCTCTACAGTAGTATTAACATTCACTTCAAAAACTATATCTATGCTGCCTTTACTCCCTCCACCATAGTATTAACATTCACTTCAAAAACTATATCTATGCTGCCTAACTCCCTCCACTGTGGTATTAACATCCACTTCAAAAACTATATCTACAATCATTTCACTCTATCCACAGTAGTCTCAATATTCACCTTAAAAATTATACCTATGCTGCCTTCACTCTGTCCACAGTCATCTAAACATTCACTTCAAAAACTATACCTATGCTGCCTTCACTTCCTCCAAAGTCATCTAAACATTCACTTCAAAAACTATACCTATGCTGCCTTCACTCCCTCCACAGTCATCTAAACATTCACTTCAAAAACTATACCTATGCTGCCTTCACTCCCTCCACAGTCATCTAAACATTCACTTCAAAAACTAAACCTATGCTGCCTTCACTCCCTCCACAGTCATCTAAACATTCACTTCAAAAACTATACCTATGCTGCCTTCACTCCCTTCACAGTCATCTAAACATTCACTTCAAAAACTATACCTATGCTGCCTTCACTCCCTTCACAGTCATCTAAACATTCACTTCAAAAACTATACCTATGCTGCCTTCACTCCCTCCACAGTCATCTAAACATTCACTTCAAAAACTATAAATATGCTACCTTCACTCCCTCCACAGTCATCTAAACATTCACTTCAAAAACTATACCTATGTTGCCTTCACTCCCTCCACAGTCATCTAAACATTCACTTCAAAAACTGCTATCTACACTGCCTTCACCTTGTCCACAGTAGTCTCAACATTCATGTCAAAAACTATTTGCTGCAACACTCTGTCCACAGCAGTCACAACATTCACCTCAAAGACTATATCTACACTGCCTTCACAGCAGTCTTAACATTCACCTCAAAGACTATATCTACACTGCCTTCATAGCAGTCTTAACATTCACCTCAAAGACTATATCTACACTGCCTTCATAGCAGTCTTAACATTCACCTCAAAGACTATATCTACACTGCCTTCACAGCAGATTAAAATTCACCTCAAAGACTATATCTACACTGCCTTCATGGCAGTCTTAACATTCACCTCAAAAACCTTGTTGTTCATTACAGTTGGAATAATCACAGACTTTTATGGAATGGTCAAAACGCTACGCTCTCACACGGGAGACTTAGGTTCGAATCCTGGGTAAGGCTGAGGCTGTTTTTCTGTCCGGGGCACAGTCAAAAATCATCACCTGCACAGTTTTGGCAACAGCCCTAGCCATGCGGCCATAAATCCTCATGATATCATTGTACCCAGTCTTGTTTTTTTTTATGACAGTTGGAATAATTACAGACATTAAATTGTATTTGTTGCAGGCACTAGTCTGTTAACAAAACCATGATGAACAAGGAGACTGTACACTGATTTCAAGGTCTTCACCATTTGAAATGTACATTATTTTCTTTCTCCAAAATTATATACCAAATGATCTTTCTATTAGCTTGTAATTAATCATCTATTTTAAGGATTGAATGTTAAATTAAGATTTGACATCACAGCTCTCAGGACACTCCCATAAGTGCTCAGTCCCCATCTTCAGCACTAAGTGAAGAGTTACAATTCCTATGGTACCAGTAACCGTCTGATTGCATATCTGTCTCATCCATCCCCTGAGTGTTTAAGGAATGAAGAAGTCTAATCATCCTTTTGCAATAAATTCGTAAGGCTCCACTTTATTCTGTCTGATAAACTCTCTGGAATCAATGTCTGCCTGCAGATAAAGCATCACACAATTAAATGCATTTATTTATATCAACATCATGATAAGCTATGCCGATACATATAGGCTGGCATGTTCTGCCATTTCACATGATCACAAGAAACACAGATCAGGTCACTGTTCTTGTCTTATCACATCCATATAACAAAGCCATGCAGGTGTTTATGTCTTTGCCTTCCCATTGATCTTTTCCCAATATTAATGTAATACATACATTATATATATAATGGAGAAAGAACAGATTTAACAACAGAAAATAACTGAGAAGGGCAACACATACTAAAAGATGAAGTCTCTGATGCAGTCACACATATGAAGAAAGGAAAAACAACAGGACCAGATGGAATAACGATAGAGGAAATAGAAGTACTTGGTGAATTTGGAGTTGTCATATTAAATAAAATGTATGTGTATAGCACTACCTAAAAGACCTGGAGCAATTGAATGTGAGGAATTTTGTACAATCAACCTCATAAACTATGTCACCAAACTGTTACTCAGAATTATAATGAGAAGAAGAAGAGAGAAAATAAAAATGGGAATTAGTGAAGAGCAGTATGGTTTATAGAAGGGAAATGTACAAATAATGCAATATATGCATTGCAAATATTAGTAGAGATCAATTGAGAAATATAAAGACATATTTGTGCTTCATAGATTACACCAAAGCTTTTGATACAGTGAAACATGATGACATGATAAATTGTTGGAGGATATTAACACTGATGGAAAAGATCTCAGGATAATTTGAAAATATTTACTGGAAGCAAGAAGCAGCAATTAAATTGGGAAATAAAGCAAGCAGTGAGACACAGATGTATTTTGTTACCAGATCTCTTCAAGGATAGATCCTCAGGTTCAAAGACCCCCCTGCCTACACCACAAAAGTTGTTATCACAAAGGCAGTTATTTGCAATTGGCAGTTTAACTTATACAACAAAATACAACAAGCTTACAGAATACTTACACAGCACTTACACTATTTATAAAAGCATGCAAGTATGCATGTGTGTGTGGATATATGAAAGTATATTTAGGTGTGTATGTATGTGTGTAAAGATGTGAGTTTATGTATAAATGTGTGTATGTACATACATGTATGTGGGTGTATGTATTCATATAAGTTTAAATGTGTGGTTTTGAGCATATGTTGGTGTCTGTACATGTGATTGTAAATGTGTGTATGCATGGGTGCATGTATAGATGTGTATATATGGAATGTGTGTGTGCATGTATATCCATAAATGTATGTGTGTGTGTGTTTTCTGTTTGTGCATTTATGTCTATGTATGTGTATGCTTGTATATGTATGTAGATGCATGTGTGTATGTATCATGTATGTCTGTATATAAGTTCGCATGTATGAGAACATAGGAGTATGTATACGTGTGTGTGAGTGTGTACGATTGTGTACACATGATGTGTGTATGCATTATACTATAATTTATATTTCTTCATTTATAACATGCATTATTGATAACAGGTATTGGTACTCTGAAAAATGAGTACTTAGAAGGGCCGAATGTCAGACGGGCCTGCGTGCCCAATTTGTAACCCTTTGAAAATAAAGTTTGTTCATTCGTTCGTTTGTTCTCCCGCAACACTTTGATAAGGTATGTAGAGACAGAGAATAAAAAGAAGAAGAAGAAGAAGAAGAAGAAGAAAATGAAGAAGAAGAAGAAGAAAAAGAAGAAGAAGAAGATGACGCAGAGGCAGAAGAAGCTTCTGCTGCCACTATCAAATGACCCCAATTGTTCTTCCTTTCCAAATGCCTGGTCTACAGAAGTCAGTAGTACTGATTTATTAATAAACAAATCAAACAATTTCTTCAGACCTTGCAGATGTGGTTTCACAGAAGAATCACTAGAATTTCATATCAGCTAAAAAACAAAAACAAAAAGGCAACCCAGATGTTCTGAGACTGGCAAAGGCATCATCTTTTGGTCATGTTATGAGAGAAAGTAAACTGGAACAGTTAGTTAAAGATCTGTGGAAACAAAGAGACATAGGAAGAAATGCCAGACAATTCTTGAGTCTTTTGTCATGGAATGGTGGCAGGGGTGTCAACACATGAACTTATACATGCTGTTGAAGATCACAGATTGTGGAGAGGCATGATCACCCCCGCCAGTGAGGAAGACTCTCCAAACTTCTCTGCAATCTGATATTTCAAGTTAGATGAAACTTATTTATGATCTGCTGATATTAATTTATGTATAAAATATCATGCTTCTTTGTTTTCTTCTTCTTTAGAATTCTGAGTCTTGAGGTTTATTCATCTCTGTGTTTGGTGGCCTTTTCTATTAAGGCGGTGACTGCAAGTGTTTGTAGGCTTTCATAAACCACACATTAAATTTAAATGAACAAACATCTTGCCTTTCTTACAGGTTCAGGGATTCTATATTTGCTGCAGCGTAGACAAATTTGTGTGGCCGACTCCAGGGTGATATTATGTCCCACAGAAATGTAGATTGGATTGGGTGCTTTATCGCAGGTTCGAACACACTGTTTCAAATTACACATACTAAAGTCAACGTATGATTTCTTTGCATATTCAACTCTTTGAGTCCCAAGAAACGCATCATGCGCTCATAGGTTCCTACCTAAAAGCCCAATGAACGCATGATGTGCCGATTTTATAACTTTCTTTACTACTCCCTGGGCCTGTGATGCTAAATCCCCTGGGACTCAAAAAGTAAAATCATTCAAATCATAATAATATAAACTATTAACTGTTCCTGACAGTTTTTTCCTATTTAATTTGTCTTTCTCACAAACATACGAGGGAAGTCAATAATTAAGTCACAAATGGTTTTTTAAAAATAAAAATGAAAAAAAAAATATTTAAAAAAATATAGATGATAACAACTTGAAAACCATTTATTTTTACACACACACTGTCCCTTTATTTTTCAAAAATAATTTCCACCAATACTGATGCACTTCATTTTATCAGTCCTCCCAAACTTGCTGCAAAAAACTGCGTGCTCTACTTTCTAAACCACATTTTCACTTTACATTCAACATCTGCATCATTCACGAAATGTTTCCAGCCAAGTTGGGTTTTCAGGGGACCAGAAAGGTGGAAATCACCAGAGGCTAAGTCGGGGCTGTAAGGTGGATGTTCCAGAAGTTCCCACCCTAGATGGTTAACCGAGCTGTATATGGTCGGGCATGGTCATGAAACAGTAGTACTCCTCTAGCCAGCAGGCCTGGATGTTTTCTTCGAATTGCATCATGAAGCATTGGTAGAAGTTTGCAGTATGAATCAGCATTCACACTGTCACCTCTTTTTTTTTTAAATTGGTTAAAAGCACTCCTTGACTTTCCAAGAACACTGTCAGCATAACCTTCCCTACTGATGGCCTAACCTTCAAGTTTTGTAACACAAGGCAAAGACAAGGCATTGCACTGAAGCACGCTTTGATTCGGGCTGGTAGTGATGCAGCCATGATTGGTCCCTAGGAATAATCCTGTTCGGTGTGTCTTGTCCTTCATCTGCGCACCAACAAAGATGCTGCAAGGACAGGCCTAATCGGTTTACTTTGTGTTCATCTGTCAATTGTCTGGGTACCCACCTTGAGCACACTTTGTTAAATTTCAGTCGATCAAGCATTATATTGTATGCTGAACCATGTCAGCACCCTACTACAGCTGCTACAGAGTCAACCGTTACTTGCCTGACACCTCTAATCATCTCCTCCACCCGCTGCACAGATGCATCCGTTACAATCTCAATAGGACGATTAGATCAGACTTCATCAACAATTTTAGAGAATCCTTGAGAATTTTTTTTTTTTTACTTTTTAACCAGCTATGCGCTGCTCTATTGTAAACAAAATTGTCAGCATAAACAGGAAGCATTTCCTTACCAATGTCCTTTGCAGGCAGCCCTTTTAAAAAAAGAAAAAAAACCACAACAGCACACTGTTCTTTAAGGACATACTCCGTAAGTACAGTTGTCATTTTGTTCATAAGTTACGAATTTGCATGCAAAACCTAGTACCACCTAATAAACGGAGACATAAAGTTTGATATTGCTGTCACCTAATGACACCTTTAGAAACCACCAACTACATTTTCCTGCCATCCTATAACCATCCATTTGTGTCTTACTTATTGACTTCCCCTCATACAAACAAAGAAACAAACACTCACATACACACACACTCACATACACATGATAAATTAATAACTTTCTTATATGTTTTTGTTTCAAAATAGCTCTTTCTGTTCATGTTTTCTCTTATTTTGGTTTTTTGTTCCTACTGTGTCAGTTGCTTATCAGTCTATTGTTCTGTCACTATATACGAAACATATGAATATAAAAACTGGGAAAAAACAAAACAAATAAATAATGACAGTAAAAAGCCATCGAAGGAGAGACATTAATGCAAGATAAGGAGTTCAAGTATCTAGGCAGTGTATTCACAGAGGACGGAGGACTGAGAACAGAAACAGAATACAGAAGGCCATCAACATAAATTATCAAATTTCGCCACCTTTAAGGAATCAAAATATCAAGATGCATACAAAAAGCAGCTGATAAATGGGCTCTATTCGTACCAGTTTTGTGCTATAAATGTCAGATATGGATGTCCCAGAAAACTATAAATGCAAAATCAGAACATGCGAGATGAGATGAATAAGAAAGTGTGTTGGGAAAAACAAGAAGAAATTAGGTCACCAACAAAGAACTAAGAACAATGATAGTTATAGTTCCTGTAAACGATTTTACAGAAGATCAAAAAATCAAATGGTTTTACTATCTGGTCATAATGGAACAAAACAGGGATTGAACCCACTCCATGCGGACACCATGCCTCGAGACCACGCAGCCCACTATGCAACTAGCAAATGACAGAAAACTACATCTAGCTCCTCTGTGTGACACTTTATGGCTTGAGCAGTAGGGCAACAGAAGAAGTTTTGTCAACTGATAAACATTGTAGTTAATGCATTTACCTGTCTTTGTATGTATCTTTTCCTATCCTCTGTTGAACCATATCTCTTCTTTTTCTTCTTCACATTCCCTGGGTGTAAACTCCTGCAGAAAAGTTCTAGTTGTTTGTCCACTTCTGAACTCTAGTCCTGTTCCACAAACTAAGTGTTGTGTGTACATCCGTTTCACAGGTCTGAGTTATTTGCATGCAAACTGTTGGTTCCTGCCTCTCAGGCAGATGTACTTCGCCTTCGAAGAAAATTCCCAATTAGTCGACTCTTACGACATGCTTGTTGGGAAGGCAGTGGGTCTATTCTTGTTTTCTCCACAATGGGGCTCTGGAACCCACACAGGGGAAAACCATATTTTGTGTTGTTTTAAAATGGTTATTTCCATTTCCTTTACAGGACGTTGCAGAACCAACCCCAACAGCCCCTGGCTGTTGTGTGGTTTTTCTAGGCAAATTTACGTCCAGTAGTTTGGCATTCCTTTCTGGACGGTCGGCTTTCTTGATACCACTGTCGAAACCGACACAAGGCGCATGGCCCGCAGCTGGGATCTAACCCGACATCCCGGCATTACAAAGCATTCGCATCGACTTAGCCACAGAGCTGACTGTTTTAAAATACTTTTTGATATTAGCCTCATTATAGTCACTCTTATTTAAGTCACAAATAAACAATGACAAGTCTGCACTTACCCTGCCAAGAACAGCTCCTCTGTCTGAGACCAGATCAAAGAAGTCCCCGGCCTGTTTAAGGGTCTGCTTCTGCAACAAAAATGGCTACTGTAAATGGAGAATACATGTTACATGATAAGCTTACATAAGATATGAATAACTTATATATGGGAGAAAAAATGCTATATGGGTGTGAGTCATGGGCAATGAGAACAGCTCACAGAAACCAAGCCTCAGAAATATGGTATATGAGAAAGGTGGTCCAAGTGACAAGAAGGGACAAAGTTCGCAATCAGACAAGACATCATGACCTTAAAAACCCAAGCCCTACAGACTTGAGTGGATCACTCACTGTTATGATGGTTTGGACATGTATGCAGAATGGGGGCGAATGAGCCACCACGGAAGGCACTTGATCATCCAATCTCTCTACCCAGAGACTAGGGTGTATGAATTATTAATGGGAGGCCAAGAACCAGGGAACGAGACCTCCAGGACGACTCAGAGTCCGCTGGGAAGACAACATCTGACAGTCCCTAACCAACAGAGGATTGGAATAAAACAAATCTAAAAAGAAAACTGCTGACAGAGAAGTCTGGCAATCTCTCTGGCAAACCTCTACCCCCCAAGGTAGAAGAGGAGCGACTAAATAAGTGAGTAATAAGACTCATTACTGTCTCACATAAGGATACAGTTAAATGTTTAATGTGATAAACAGAATCAAACCAAATATTAAAGGGTCACAATTTTGACAAAACTAATGCTTTTATTGTGTCACATACGGATAAAATAATAATTTCATAAAGTTAAATATAGGACAGGATCACATGTTTAGTAAGTAATACACTGGAGATATATAGTGTGTAACATATGGGGGTGGAATTGCAAGTTTAGTTTTTAATATATGGGGTGGGATCACATGTACAGTGTATAATATATGGGTTGGATGGCAAGTTTAGTATGTAACATACAGGGTGGGATCACATGTGTAGTGTGTAACATATGGGGTGGGATTCCATGCTTAGAGTGTTATATATGGTTGGGATCACATGTTTAGTGTGTATTATATGGGTTGGATGGCAAGTTTAGTATGTAACATACAGGGTGGGATCACATGTGTAGTGTGTAACATATGAGGTGGGATTCCATGCTTAGTGTGTTATATATGGTTGGGATCACATGTTTAGTGTGTATTATATGGGTTGGATCACAAGTTTAGTGTGTATTATATGGGTTGGATCACAAGTTTGGTGTGTAACATACAGGGTGGGATCACATGCTTAGTGTGTTATATATGGTTGGAATCACAAGTTTAGTGTGTATTATATGGGTGGGATCACAAGTTTGGTGTGTAACATACAGGATGGGATCACATGCTTAGTGTGTAATATAAGAGTGGGATCACATGTTTAGTGTGTATTACATGGGTGGGATCACATGTTTAGTGTGTAATATAAGAGTGGGATCACATGTTTAGTGTGTATTATATGGGTGGGATCACAAGTTTAGTGTGTAACATACAGGGTGGGACCACATGCTTAGTGTGTAATATAAGAGTGGGATCACATGTTTAGTGTGTATTATATGGGTGGGATCACATGTTTAGTGTGTATTATAAGAGTGGGATCACATGTTTAGTGTGTATTATAAGAGTGGGATCACATGTTTAGTGTGTATTATATGGGTTGGATCACAAGTTTAGTGTGTAACATACAGGGTGGGATCACATGTTTAGTGTGTTATATATGGTTGGGATCACATGTTTAGTGTGTTATATATGGTTGGGATCACATGTTTAGCGTGCATTATATGGGTGGGTTTGCATGTTTAGTGTGTAACATATATGCATTTAACTTTTGGAATGGTATTCAACATGTAGTTTGCAACAAATGGAATAGATTTAAACAGTAAGAAACACATGTGACAGAAACACATGTCCCAGAAACACATGTGACAGAAACACATGTGACAGAAACACATGCGACAGAAACACATGTCACATAAACACATGTCACAGAAACACATGCGACAGAAACACATGCGACAGAAACACATGCGACAGAAACACATGCGACAGAAACACATGTCACATAAACACATGTCACAGAAACACATGTCACAGAAACACATGCACAGAAACACATGTCACAGAAACACATGCCACAGAAACACATGTCACAAAAACACATGTCAAAGAAACACATGTTACAGAAACACATGTCACAGAAACACACCTTCAGCTTATGATCCTGGTCATCATGAATGCCTTGTGTTGTAATCAGAGTCTTGGCCACACCCAGGGTAGACATCCCAAGAACAACACCCAGGTGACAGGCCAGGCCAAAGCCTGAAGTTATAACAAGAACATCTATTGACAGTTTCAACTCTTCTACTCGAGTCTGAGTAGGTACTTTATGTAGTGTGTCTTTTTTCACTACGGGCACATACAAACTTCACAACTGTATGTAACCTCTCTCTCACTCTCTCTCTCGTGCTTTCTTGTTTTTTGTTACATTTTTCTTCTTCTTCTTCACTTCCTCTTTTACCGCTGTGAGTGTCGAGGGAGATATAAGGTTCTGTTTCTGGCTCTTCTGGCTGCCTCGTGCTGTTGTAGAGTTTCTCTTATGTTATCCTTCCATCTTGTTCTTGGTCTACCCCGTGCTCTATGTCCTTTTTCTCTTTCCATGTATGCTTTGTATGGTATGGTGTCACAAGGCATTCTCTCTAAGTGGGCAAACCATTTCACTTGCTGTCTTTGTATGTAATCCAGAATTGGTTCTGTGCCGACTTGTTCTCTTATGATCTCATTCCTGTTCTTATCTCTTATTGTCACTCCTACAGCCCTTCTCAGACATCTCATTTCCGTGGTTACTAATTTTCTTTTAATGGTTTGTTGTGAGTGACATTGTCTGGCACTGGCAGCACAGAGTTGGAATAAATATGCTTTGAAATTTTTCTTCAGTGTATGTAAATTGCTATGAATACAGCATGGATGTTCACGGCACACTTAGCGGGCAGAACAGTCAAAGACGCCAATGGCACCTTCTCCATGGCAACTAGCAGCATGACAATGGAGTTGATGGCAGTAACGTAAGTGTTTTGGGTGGCTCAAAACATAAAACTACACACTCTCTCCCCCCTCCCTCTCTCTCTCTCTCTATCTCTCTCTCTCATGACTGCATGTTTTTTGTTTAAATTAAAAATTCACATTATATACATTGAAATTAACACAGCATGGTATATAGATAAAGTAAACTTGTTTTTTGAAAGATGAGTGTTTGGAAACCTAAACCTAAGATGAGCCGGAATGCCCAATTTGTGACCCTCTGACAATACAGTTAGTTTCTTCCTTCACTCTCTTTCTCTTTACCCATGTGTTTGTGTTTAATACATCACATTTTAAACAGTTTTTAAAATATCCCTTCCTGGGCCAGAAGGCATAAAGGGTATACGCTGCCAGTCTCATACTTCTAAAGATCAATTGATACTAACAGTCGTATTTGTAACGATCAACGGACGCTAACAGTCTCTACTTTTATAGACCAGCTGGAACGAATGGTAACACTTTTATAGAAACATTGAAATTAAGAGCATATTTGTTTACAGATCAATTGACACAAATGGTAATATTTGTATAGAACAACTGACCCCAGTAGGCATATTTTTAATAGATCAATTGCCACTAATTGACATTTTTATAGATCAATTGCCACTAATTGACATTTTTATAGATCAATTGCCACTAATTGACATTTGTATTGATCAATTGACCCTAATTGACATTTTTATAGATCAATTGACAGTAATGGTCACACTTTAACAGATCAATTGACACTAATGGTCACACTTTAACAGATCAATTAACACTAATGGTCAATCTGTTAAAGAACAATTAACTCTAATGTTAAGATTGTCAATATCACACAGCCCCCTTTACTTCTCAGGGCATTACCTGGTAGAGTCTTCTAGACTGAATCAAACTGGATTTAAAATGTCCATCTTGATGAAGATTTTAACAAGCACATGAACGAAGTCAGGATAAAGCCACTGCTCATTCTATGATCTGGCTGCAACTGACAAGAATTTTTTTTTTTTTTTTTACGCTGTCCATAACCACAAGATTTGAACATTTTACCATTTGCCCAAGACCTAAGCTGGCTAGCCTCTACACTGCTGTTGCTTTTTACATCCCCTACACACACATAAACAATGCAAGAAAACTAATTATATACAATTAATGATATGATTAATGTTCAATGTACCTCTAGGGTGAAGAATGCCATTTCCGTCAACCATAATTACCTGCAACAAGATAGAAAATTGTACTAATATGAATAAATATGTCTTAGCTTTATGAATTACGTTACAGTTACAGTTAACTTCAACACTACTTTTATCTGGTTAACAATACGTGACATAACATATTTTCTAACTTAACTGTGATAATTCATTAAAACTTAAACTACATGTCACGTATTCTAGCACAAATCTGAGATTTTCAAAAAATAAAAAAGAGAACTCAAGTGATGCTGTTTACCAAGCGAACAATTTAGAAATGTTCAACTTATCCATAGCTTGGCTGACTGATTACCTTCTTTCTGCAGCTATTCTATTGGACAAATGAATTTTTTTTTTTTTTTTAGTTGTTTCCGACATTATGTCAAATAAATTTTTTTAGTAGAATAATTTTAGAATCAGCTCTTACCTACAAGCCCAGCATTCATAACAGTTCAGTAATCCACTCTTATAGGCTGCACAAGCGTATTACAACACAGTCTATATAACAGCACATATACAAAATATTTTAGCCAACTGACAAAAATACCAGTGACTGCCATTATTTTACCACTTTTGTGGTGTAGGCAGGGGTGGTCTTTGAGCCTTAGAATTTATGGCCGCATGGCTAGTGCTGTCGCCACGACAGTGCAGGTGACAATTTTGTTTTGCCCCCTTACTAAGGATTCGAATCCGGTTCTCCGGCTTGAGAGCCTAGTGTTCTAATCATTCGGCCAGCCACTCCTCAGCCAACGGCTATACATGAGAATATTCAGACTCATCTATGGCACCAATAAGCAAGACACATGAAATACTGAGCTGCAGACATGGGTGTCTTTATTAAAGGGTTTTCAGTCTAAAAAGGCAATATAGGACTGACAAATTAAATAACATGACTTTAGGTAATTGGCAACTTGCTTACATCTGGAAGGTATTGAGGGGCAGCAACTCTCAGCTGATTGTAGAGATCAACCAATGGTTGCACTTCCCGGAAGGCAAGGTATCCTGGCACGTAGGGATGTGTCAGCTGAATCATTTCTATCCTCTGGTACACAACCTGTAAATAAAGAGTAAGGTCAGGATGAAGAACTGATGACAGGTTAGGATGAAAAACTGATGACAGGACAGGATGAAGAACTGATGACAGGTTAGGATGAAGAACTGATGACAGTTTAGGATGAAGAACTGATGACAGGTTAGGATGAAGAATTGATGACAGGTCAGGATGAAGAACTGATGACAGGACAGGATGAAGAACTGATGACAGGTCAGGATGAAGAAGTGATGACAGGTCAGGATGAAGAACTGATGACAGGTTAGGATGAAGAACTGATGACAGGTTAGGATGAAGAATTGATGACAGGTCAGGATGAAGAACTGATGACAGGATGAAGAAGTGATAAGGATAACTGATGACAGGACAGGATGAAGAAGGTTAGGATAGAACTGATGACAGGAAGGAAGAACTGATGACAGGTTAGGATGACAAGTCCGGATAAAGAACTGATGACAGAAGTTAGGATGAAATAAAGAGGTTAGGATGAAGAAGTGATGACAAGTCCAGATAAAGAACTGATGACAGGTTAGGATAATGACAAGTCGGGATAAAGAACTGATGACAGGTTAGGAAAAAGAACTGATGACAGGTCAGGAGAAAGAACTGATGACAGGTTAGAATGAAGAAGTGATGACAAGTCCAGATAAAGCACTGATGACAGGTTAGGATGAAGAACTGATGACAGGTCAGGATAAAGAACTGATGACAGGTCAGGATAAAGAACTGATGACAGGTTAAAATGAAGAACTGATGACACCTCCGGATAAAGAACTGATGACAGATTAGGATCAAATACCATACTAATCAACCCAAATGGTTATTCCTGAAAGCAACCATCAACCTGGCTGATGAAGAAAGAACAAAACATGACCTATGAGTTGAGATGATTCAAGAACCGACCTCACAGCATATGGGGTATTCCCATAACTACTCTGTCCCCATCTTCAGCAGCCAGTGCAGAGTTCCAATACCAATGGTACCAGTAGCAGTCTGATTATACGATTGTTTTGCTTTTCCTCTGTGCGTATTGGCCAGATCCTCTGGTCACTCCTTGCTGCATCAGTCTCACCAGACTGTGATGATCCTTTTGCTCCTCCAAATTGCACACATGCTTCCTTAAGGCCTTGACCACATCTGACTTATCAGGCATCAGTATTCCACCAACTAACTTTATCTATATCACAAAGGCAGTAAAGACTTAAAAACGTTGTGAACTAGATTTTTCATGGCCTTTATATGTATAATTGAAATGCTTGTTATGTTTACTAAGATACTAGGGGTAAGTTTGATCTATACTATAAATGAAGTGTTAAACCGTGACCAACACATATCACCTTCTTTATGCCTATGACAGAAAAATCACTTTAATGAGGATTCAAATCCATATCTTGGGTATGGCAGCCTAGCATTTTAACCATTTGACCAACTGCTCCTTGAAACTTATACAATGCTAGATATGAGTTAAGTTGCTGAAAATCACTAATAGAAAGTGGAGTAAGGACAATGACCCTTTCACTTTAATAATGCATCAGCCTTACGACTGTCACAGACAGACCACAGTCATTACTGCAAGGAATTACCTACCATTTTGTTTTAGGTGGCGTAGGCAGGTTGTATTCAGCCATCTTGTGCTAGATATACTTTTTCTAAAGACAAACTGGCAGCTGGCCAGGGTAATGTGGTCAACATCATTCTAGCCAAATTTACCTTTATCACATTTTAAAGACAAACTGGCAGTTGAAGAAACTTATTATTCATTACTTTTCTTTCAACTGAATAGGGATTTGAGTACTAAATTTTTCAATTTAGTCAGAGAATTAATCTCAGGAAAAAATGAAATATTTACGAAACTGTTAACCCACACACAATTACTTAACTATTTTTTATGTTCACAAATAGCAGCCGGGGTTGCACTTGGAATAAGTGATTGTCTGAAAGTCAAAGGTTCGAACCCCATGTATGTGAATCTTGTTTTCAGATCTGACCTTGGCGACCAGGTTGATCTAGCCCCAAAATGGCTACTATGTGATGTCCTGGCAAATGAAAATGACTAGCATGATTCTGAACACATCACTAACTGAGTGCCAACTGGCCCATGGAAATTAGGTAAAGTCAGGACCCTTTTCCAAGCCTTCAGGCATATTGGGCAAATAGGGCTAGACCTATATTTTAAAGACCAATTGGCACTAGGTGGGTCATGTGGTCAGCATCACACTAGACAACAGACAGCTTTACTTCTCCAGACTGTACCTGGTACCCACACAGGGCCAGGGTCAATTTTGGAGCCAAGGTCATTTTTGTAAAAAGTCTGGCTCTGTCAGGGCCCTGGCCAATGACCTTCTGATCCACAGGTGAGCCTCTCATTGCTACCATAAAAATACATATCTAGCGCTATATGCCCGCTGCACTAAAAACTCCTTTACTAACTTTTTTATTTTTTTATTTACGTACTGTTTATATAGCGATTATCTACAAAATATATGGCACCCAATACAGCCATCTCAATCACACTTAGACTCTACAATCTGACGACGCCCGCACAATGGTGAGACACGAACATGCATCAACACTGTTTCCTTTGATAAAAGAAATGTCTGCTCCACCAACATACAGCTCTTTGCCATCTTTGCTCTCAGGGTTCTCCGACAACCAGGACATGATATCTTCAGTGTCCTCAGTAACCAGTTTCTCTCTGTATTCTGACTGCTCTCTGTAAATGAGTGATTGATTTGTTATTCACTGATTTAAAAAAACTTATCTTGACCTCTTTCTTTCTAAATGATTCTATATTTAACTCATTCAATGCAAAACATCAATCAAAAGAATCCCAAAGACAACGATGATGAGAGAAGCAAAGAGCTGCTGGACTCTAGTCCATCCATTACACAGAAATTATTGTCCAGGGTAAAATTGGAGGTGCTTTCCCAATATTTCCCCCCAGGTGGCGTCACAGGACAGTCCAATATTTTTGAGGGTGGTAAGAACTACCCCAAAATAGAACTGGGCCTCATCTCAACCCACCTACATCCCACGAGAGAGTGCAGCCTAGGTCCCAAGACTGCATGCAACCTATCTTCTTCTTCTTCTGTCTTTCTATCCCCTAATGGCTTATCTACCATCCCTTAAAATATCTGACAGTTTAGGGGAAGATATTGGGATAGAACCAAAAAACTGAATGTACGGATAGACTGTGAGCCTTATGTGATATATAATAGAACATCAAAATGATGGTGATACTAACATACACTGAGATCAACATGTCTGTTTATAAAGACTTCTACTTGTGAGAATGCAATCATTTACAATATTTCATGTCATGACAAAGTTATTCCTTCTGCAGATGAGCATAAAGTTGTTTTTATGTTACTTAATCATAAATATAACATTTCAACTATTAATGTTTATTGTGAAGCTAATGTGACTATTATTTTTTTCTTTATCTGTTTAAGCTTTCTGCAAACTTCTTCCTTTGCTTTTTGCTTCTCTCGCTAGTATTGTTCCTGCAAGAGGTAATTACTGTAATCCATGATGAGTTTATATGTCCCTAATTATCTTCATTAGGATTTTGTTGAGTGGTCAAGTAACAGCATCAGCTGTCAATACTTCAGTGTGTTCTTCTTTGTTCCTGATATTGTTAACAACCTTCTCAAAACTATACCTCCACTTCTTCCGGTTTGTTCATTATTTGGCTACTCCAACATTTGTTGTTTCTGATAAATATTTGATAAAGAGAAAGATGAAAGCAGTCACTGACAGCTATAGGTATTATAAGATCACTAGCTCTTTCTTTGGAAATGAACGTGGCAGATATCACCCACAACAACATACCAAATAGATATGTTCTGCTGTTGAAATAATAAGGTACCTGTATAAGAGCTGACCCTCTCTATGTCCATAGAAATAAATCTCAGTGTCTGTAACATCTGTAATATCAGTCTTTAACGATCAGATGTAACATTAGCCATTCAAGATCAGATGTAACATTAGCAATTCAAGATCAGATGTAACATTATCCTTTCAAGATCACATGTAATTTTAGCCATTCAAGATCACATGTAACATTAGCCTTTCAAGATCACATGTAACATTAGCCTTTCAAGATCACATGTAACATATGCCTATCAAGATCACATGTAAGATTAGCCTTTCAAGATCAGATTTAACATTAGCCATTCAAGATCACATGAAATATTAGCCTTTCAAGATCAGATGTAACATATGCCTTTCAAGATCAGATGTAACATTAGCCTTTCAAGATCACATGTAACATTAGCCATTCAAGATCAGATGTAACATTAGCCTTTCAAGATCAGATGTAACATTAGCCTTTCAAGATCACATGTAACATTAGCCTTTCAAGATCAGATGTAACATTAGCCTTTCAAGATCACATGTAACATTAGCCATTCAAGATCAGATGTAATATTAGCTTTTCAAGATCAATGTAGTATATGCCTTTCAAAGCCACATGTAACATTAGCCATTCAAGATCATGTGTAACATTAGCCATTCAAGATCACATGTAACATTAGCCTTTCAAGATCACATGTAACATATGCCTTTCAAGACCACATGTAAAATTAGCCATTCAAGACCACATGTAAGATTAGCCATTCAAGATCACATGTACCATTAGCTATGAAAGATCACATGTAACTTTAGCCTTTCAAGATCACATGTAAGATTCCAGATGGAACAATCTGACCACATACCTTTCCCAGTTTTGTATCACTTCTTCTGTTACTTGATCCTCCAACAAGGTTTCACTTGGTGATGGTGGAATACAGCTGGTACATTCACAACACTGGTCACTTCTACAACTACATCCACAACTGTGGCTATGATTCTGGTCAGGTTCACAGGACTCTCTGTCAAGATTGTGATGATGTTCACATGACTTGCTGTCAAGATTGTGGTGAGTCTCACATGACTTGCTGTCAAGATTGTGGCAATGTTCACATGACTGACTGTCAAGATTGTGGTGAGGCTCACATGACTTACTGTCAAGATTGTGGTGAGTCTCACATGACTTGCTGTCAAGATTGTGGTGAGTCTCACATGACTGACTGTCAAGATTGTGGTGATGTTCACATGACTGACTGTTAAGATTGTGGTGATGTTCACATGACTGACTGTCAAGATTGTGGAGATGTTCACATGACTGACTGTCAAGATTGTCACAGTTCTTGCTTTCTGGACCTTGCCTACAAGAAGCAGAAGCAGCCAATTTCAACAAACCACAAATTTCTGTCTCCATGGATGTCAGTCAGGACTTGTACCTTTTGTTAAAGACACAATGAAACTTACATCAGATCTGAAAATTGTTAACATAAAATTAATTCATTCAGCATAAAAAAATATTCTAGAACATCTGCAACCAACCCTGTGCTATTTCTCACAGACTTGAACATTATCAAGGGGTCTCCAATATAATATTACTACCTATAAAATGAGATGCTGGGAAAAGCTACCAAATGAATTATTTTAGGTGAGTCAGAAATGATACTATCAGACAGACTGCGGGAAGAACATCTTGCACTGAATTCACTGAGAAGCAGATTAAATGATTTGGTAATCTTTTTCAAATGCAACCAGAACAAACGACAAAGAGGCATTTAACTTAAAAATATTTGATGTTACAGCAAAAGGGTTGTTCAAAAGAGGTTGTTCAAAAGTTTTGTGAAGGTTACTCCCTGTCACTAAAGAAAATGCAACAACTGACCTAAAGACATTAAATACTGAATGAAACAATCAGTGGAAATCACTCAGGTTGGGAAAGAAGGTGGGGGGATGGAGTGCACAAAATGTTCCCATGAGACTAAACAGTAAATGTGAATGTTTATGATGATGATGAAACATTTCTAAAATATCCTATCATTTTAAAACTCACAAACTCAGGCCCACTGAATTAGAGCATGTTCTCATCTGCCATAACTTGCATTTTGACTTTTCCCATCTAATCTTCTTCGAGTTCCCCATAGCGTACATTTTGGGAAAGGGAAGATGGAGGGGGAGGGGTTAATATTGTTCTTGCACAAAGCCAACAGCTAGTGCAACCAAATAGTAAAACTATTAACTAGATTTTCTAACCATTAACTAGCTGTAGAAGTAGAATAGTATTTTATATATATATATGGCTATCCACCGAATAGAGGGCACTAAAGATGGCGGCCGCAAAATATCCTTTCAAGCCTCAGTCACGTGTCAATTGCGCACTTCCGGCGACTTAATTTGCGATTTTCCGGCGATTACCGCCGTCGCCACGAGTCCCCCAAGCCGCTCACGCGGCGTGGATTGGGGCTAAACTAGATGGCTAGGACCCACGAGCAGCAGCTTCCGCATCTCCTGCAGCTTTGCTCGTGAGTCCTAGCCATCTAGTATAACCCCAATCACGCGGCGTGGGGGACTCGTGGCGGTTGTCCGCAAAAAACCGCAAATTAAGTCACGTAACTGAGGCTCGAAAGGATATTTTGCGTCCGCCATCTTTAATGCCTGTTATTCGGAGGATAACCATATATATATGGGCACTCTTCCGAATACCGGTCCCTAATTATTCTCAGCGAAAAAGATCCATTTGAGAGCCTCAAGAGGTTATGTATTAAAACATTTAGGCCATCATCATCAGCTGTCACTTCTGCAGTTTATGCTCGATGACTAGCAATGTTCAGACTTTGAGCTAAGCGCCGTGGGGAGGAGCAGTTTTTAATCCAGCTTTTAAAAGCCGTTTGGAGGAGTCGTTTTCGATGCATTAAATCTCAGTGGGGAGTAGTAGTTACATTGTTCACATTACCCTCTCTTCCCTTGTGGGTTTCAGGGCCGCATGTTGGAGGGGAAAACAGAATAGATCCACTGCCACCTAAAAAAAGCATGTTGTAAAAGGCGACTTATTATGACTGTGCTGAAATCGGATGTATTGGGACGAAAGGCACATATATCGCAGCCTAGCTGTAAACCACAGCACAACGTACCAACCGCATTTTTAAGAGGGTTAAAAACAATTATCACCCGGCAGACTCAGGAGTTTGTGGTTTAAATGAAATTATGTAATAACACGAAGCATAGTTGTAGTGTTCCTATTCCATACTTCTAAATATATGACTTCTTGAATATTTGGGACCGGTATTCGGAAGAGTGCCATATATATATATATATATATATATATATATATATATATATATATATATATATATATAATATATAATAATACTATTATATATATAAAAATAAAATAACATTATTAATTAATTCGTATATTTTTTTACCGAACATGATGCAATCGATATATATATATAAATATATATATATATATATATATATATATATATTATATATATATATATATATATATATATATCGATTGCATCATGTTCGGTAAAAAAAATATACGAATTAATTAATTATTAATGTTATTTTATTTTTACTGATGTTTTATTTTAATAACTATTTACTACCAATAATTACACATACAGGTTATACATGGCAGATATCAGCGTGAATACTATATGAGATATTGCAATACTGCTTATGTAAGTTCTTGGTGACAATGAATGAAACAGAAGAGAAAAACTTATTCAACTCTTTGACTAGAAACTTTGGAGACAGTCGAAGTTTATTGACATTCTACTTTCGCTTCCGTGGTAGGACCTATAACTCTGGCTTCTCAATGTGGTAGTCTCCCTTGTTGCTCGCTCTGTACACGCCAGATACGTTTGTTGGACAACTCATTCACTTCTTCTTCTTCTTCTTCTTCTTCTTCTTCTTCTTCTTCTTCTTCTTCTTCTTCTTCTTCTTCTCCTTCTGTTACTGCTTCTGTTGTTGCTGGTGTGGAGGTTGAATGATTTAAGTTGAATTTAAGGATTGTCAAACTACTCTCCCTTCCTTCAGACGATATTTTGGTTAACTATTCTTCCTAATTTTTTTCCTGTTTGTTTTCCTATTTCCTACTTTATTCTTCCTATTCTGCAGGATATCGCAGATTGTGGAGAGGCATGATCGCCCAAGCCATTTGGCAAGGCACCTAACGATGATTCTTCCTTCTGTGTGGCTTTGATCAACGTATTTGTGTAGAAAACTTCAAACAATAGACCTATCTACCCTACACAATCTTTGACTGTGATAAAATAGGGGCAGTAAAGCTAGTAGATGGTTTCGTATGTCTTTTGATCTTTTCGAATCCCAAGAGTTAGTTATTAGACAGTTGACCATTTTACCCATCTGGGATCCACAGTGAACAAGAAACTATCGATGGACCAAGAAATCAACATCAGGATAAGTAAGGCAGTAGCAACAATGAGCAGATTGAGAAAAAAAGGGTTTGGGAGAACAGAAAGCTCGCGATTAAAACAAAAACAAAATTATAAAGCTTATGTTCTCAGCACTCAGCTTATTCGCATCAGGAAAGACAGCTAAAGACTATCTTTCACGTGCAATGCCTAAGAGGAATACTTAGCAAAAAGCGGCAGGACAAAATAACAAACACTGAGGTTTTGATACGAGCAGGTATTACAAATCTCCTCTCCACGTGTGGGTTCCGTGGCCTTGTTATAGGGAAAACAAGAATTGACCCACTGCCTACCCAAAAGCATGTCATAAGAGTCGACTAACTAAGAGCTTCTTTCAAAGTCGGAGTGCATCTGTCTGAGGGGTAATGAACCAGCAGTCTGCATACAAATGAGTCAAATCTGAAAAACGGCTGCACACGCAACGCTCAGTTTCTGGAACAGGACTGCAGTCCAAAAGTGGATGAAAACCTGAACTTTCCGCTGGAGTTTACAGCTGGCGAACGCAAAGTAGAAGAAGAAGAAGATGTCTTCTTAATGCTCTCTGCGACGGCTCAGGTGGCTGGGACATATCTGGAGAATAGGGATGACAGTCCATAACGACATCCTTTAAGGTGAATTAAAGACGGGTAGAAGATGTGCGAGGCCAACCTCTACTACGATATAAAGACGTGCAAGAGGAGCATGAATGATACAGATATTGAGGCAGACTGGTGAGAACAAAATGCCAAGGACCATGTTGTGTGGAAAGGGGCACATCAGGAAGGAAATGAGAATGAAGGAAGAGATGGTTGCAGAAAGGATGAGAGTTGAGCTGAGTGTCTGAGAAGAAACAGACTAAACACAAATGTTGACAACTGTGGTCCTGAAATCCCATGCTATAATTGTTTAAGATGTTTCTTAACTCGGGTCTTACTAGTCACACTCGCCATCGCCATGGGCTGTGAGTCCCATAACACTATCGCCTGGAAAAACTGAAAGGTGCCAGTCATTTAATCAAAATTAACAAATATTTATCAGTGGACTCGCAAAGCAGACTTAGTGACTGTCGCGGTGTAGTTAACCATACGTCTCGAAGTCCTGCGTTAAATTAATATTTTGTTTAGATTAGAGGGTACTTCTTCTTTATTCACCACTGTAAACAATGGGGAAAAGTCCTAGTTGTTCGTCCATTTAGACTTCAGCATTGTGCCAAGGCCTGAGCTTTGCGTGTGCATCCGTTTTACTGGCTTATTTGTGTGCAACTGGTTGTTCCTTGCCTCTCATGCAGATCCACTCCGACTTCGAAGGAAGCTCCCAATTATTCAACTCATACAACATGCTTGTTTGGGAGCCAGTGGGTTTATTCTCCCCCCCCCCCCCAACCTGTGGCGGAACCCACATGGGGTAGAGAGTACTGAACTTTGACTTGTTACTTACTCCACACGCAGGTTAAAAGAGATTTTAAGAAGCTTGGAGTGTAATGTATTATTTATGCAGTGTTTGAGATACTGAAAAGTCTGTCTATGTTTCCCTCTAATTGTTGAATACCTTCTAGAACTTCTGCTCAGTCCTCGTTGAAACAGCCTTTCAAGGTATTGTGTGTAAAACTGACTTTAGTGCGTGGTGTGTAAGCCGGGGAGCTATTGAAGTGTGAGTACACATTGATAATCATGGAATGTTGACATGTTGAGCATGGATACGTGATCTGTGTAGAGACAGCGGAGGAAGACATCTCATAGCATCACTAGAACATAGAAGATACATCGTGTGTGCATCTTGTGTCTGGCAAAGTAGAAACTATACTCAAGTATCTCTCATTATTATCATTATTCGTGCAGAGTGGCATGCTTCGCTGCGGAGTGAGGAGTATTGTCTGGATTTTGTCACGAGGGCACGCCGGTGTGTTGGGAAATGAACAGGCAGACAGACTGGCTGGCTCTGCACAACTTGGTGGAATACTGATACATGATAGGGCAGATGTGGTTAGTGCCTTATG